GGAGGAGGAGGAGGAGGAGGAGGACGGGGGGTGGGAGGAGGAGGAGGAGGAGGGGGAGGGGAAGGGGGAGGAGGAGGGGGAGGAGGAGGAGGAGGAGGAGGAGGAGGAGGAGGAGGAGGAGGAGGAGGAGGAGGAGGAGGAGGTGGGCGATGGGGCCGCGGCAGCGGCAAGGGCGAGCGCCCCGCCCACCGCCAGCCCGACGGCAAGGGCAGCGGCGCGGCGGCGTGGGGCTCCGAGGGCAGAGGCGCACGGCGTGGCAAGCCAACCCAGCCACCGCCCTGGAGCAACGCTCGCCCCCCTTCGCGGAAGGGACATCGGCCTGGACAACTTCAAGGATGATTTCCAGGACTCTCGGGAAACGGAGGAAGGCGAGCAAACGCGCGGGAGCGGCGCGCAGTGGGTGGATCTGGATGACCTGCGTCGACGCTTCGATGCTCTGCGCAGTGGAGAGTGCGCCCGAGCGCTGGTGCTGTGCATGGTGCGGCTGCAAGAGGGATATCGACACATGCAACGCCTGCAGGCATCTCGGAGACTGGAAGACAGCTGCGCCGACGGCAGATGCCGCCGCGGTGCTTGCGGGCAGCACCGGGCGTCGTTCTCGGCCTCCGGTTGCTCGTGGCGCTGCTGGCGCCTCAGATGCCAACGGCGGTGGACACCCAGATGCAGGAGCTGAGCACGACAGGGGTCTCAGCGAGAGGGAGTTTCAACATTTCGTTACCCTGGCCGAGAAGGCTGGAGACCCGATCGCTGCAACTCAGCATCGGCAGAAGCTCGACGCCGTGCGCAACACCACCGAGCCCAGCTTGCAGGTCAAGGTTACCACCCAGGGTGCCAAGGTCACCGAGCTCGAGGCAGCCCCGCAGGTGGAACTTGATAAGTTGGGTTCAGATGCTAAGTGGTAGACCCAGCAGAGCAAGGTCGTGCAGGATCTCGACAACCCCCCGAACTCAGCAGACGAGCAGTATCAGGAGCTGGTCACTCAGTTGGCTGGTAGGACAGATTCCTCTGCTGATGCTACTCCCCCTTGGTTGTGCATCAAGGATGTGGTCGAGGGCAAGAGCGACCTCATGTCTTCCATTGATGTTGGCACCTTCAATGCGGATGCATATGAAGTATCTGCTGCTGTCAAGGAAGCCATCAGGACCAGGAAAGACGAGCTCTGCACGCAGCTTGAGGAACTTGCCACGTGCCTCTTCAGTGGTGCAGCCGACAAGTTCCAGGGCCTCAAGAAAGAACAGCTCGAACACCTCCAGCGCCTCGGGAAGAAAAAGGAATGCTGACCCACAGTGGCGACCAGGTCGGTCCCTCAGTGTCGCTCGAGGCGCAGGCCCAGGTGATACGGCGGCTTCGAAAGCTTGGGGTGGTGCGCCCAAAGTATCGTCCGCTACGACTGCTGCACCTGCCATGGGCTTCTTCTGCTCCGGCAGCTCCAGGTGCTGGCGCGCGCGAGCGGGCCCGTGCATGCGCAGCGGGTGGGCCAGCAAGAGATCGCCCATGCTACTTAGCACCCCTCGCTGCTGCTTCGTGGCGTGGGCTCGATGGCGGGCGGCGAGGGGGAAGGGACAAATAATTTCTACAGTTGCCTGGCGGCAAACTCTGCCCCCCAGGTGGCCCTCAGCAGGTTGGATACGCCCCTGTCGTTCGGTTGGGCCCGGGGGGGGCGCGCCTGGTCCTCTTGGAGTTCGTTTACTTGGAAGCGCCGACGTGATTTTTTGGAGACGCTCTGGCCCCGGAGCAGCCTCTTTGGATCTCGTCGTGGAAACAGTCAACAGCGCGACGCAGCATTCCCACAAGAGGTGGCCCCCCACAGACAGGCCAACATTAGATTGCTTCAGGAGCGCTACCTACGAGCTGGAGAGGAGCGCGATGAGGCTTCCTCTTGGGCGCAGGCCCGCGGGTGGAAAGCAGTTACCGCCCCCGCTCTAGTGGCGCCTCTGGAGGAATTGGGGTTTTGGTTTGGGACGCTTTAGGTTTGCGAGCTCCCCCCCTCCTTTTTGTCTCCTCTTGCCTTGCCTGGAAGGCTGCGATCTGCGAAATTGTCGCCACTTTCGAGGGCTGCTGGCGGGTCCAGCGGAGTGAGGCACCGCGCAGATCTGAGCGGTGGCTCGCCGTCCCTGGGGGGCTGCGATCTGCGAAATTGACGCCGCTGCTGGCGGGTCCAGCGGAGTGAGGCACCGCGCAGATCTGAGCGGTAGCTCGCCGTCCCATCCTTGGGGGGCTCCGACCTGCGGCGCTGTCGCCACTTTCGAGTGCAACCAGGAGGCCCAGCATTGCGACGTCCTGCGCAGATTCTGCTTCGACCTCACCAACCCTGGAGGGCTGCGAATTGCGAAGCAGTCGCAACTTTCGAAGGCTGCAGGGGGGTCCAGCATAGCGACGTCCTACGCAGATCCAGATCAGACCTCACCATCCCTGGGGGGGTGCGAACTGCGAAGCTGCCTCCACTCTCGAGGGTCTGGCATAGTGAAGTCCTATGCAGATTTAGATCTGACCTCACCATCCCTGGGGGGGGGGGGACATCCTACGCATTTCCAGATCTGACCTCACCATCCCTGGGGTCGAGGGTCGGCGAACTGCGAAACCGTCGCGACTTTCGAGGGCTGCTTGGGGGTCAGCATGGTGACGTCCTACGGTCAAGTATAGTGACGTCCTACGCATATCCAGGTCGTACCTCACCACCCCAGGGGGCTGCGACCTGCGACACAACCGCCACTTTCGATGGCTGCTGGGGGTCCAGCATTGTGACGTCTTGCGCAGACGCAGATGAGACCTCACCATCCCTTGGGGGCTGCAAGCTGCGAAAGTGTCGCAGCTTTCGAAGGCTGCCAGGGAGGTCAGCATAGTGACGTCCTATGCAGATCCAGACTAGACCTCACCATACCATGGGGGCTGCAAGCTGCGAAGCTGTCGCATCTTTCGAGGGCTGCTGGGGGGGTCAGCGTAGTGACGTCCTACGCAGATCCAGACCAAACCTCACCATTCCTGTGGGGCCGCGACCTGCGAAACTGTCGCCACTTTCGATCGCTGCTGGGAGTTTCAGCATAGTGGCGTCCTACGCAGCTTCCTATTCGACCTCATCATCCCTGGGGGGTTGCGAACTGCGACGCATTCCGAGTTTTCGAGAGCCACTGAAGGGGGTCCAGCATAGTGACGTCCTGCGCAGATTCGGAATGGACCTCACCATCCATGGAGGGTTGCGAACTGCGAAACTGTCTCCACTTCCGAGGGCTGCTGGGAAGTCCAGCATAGTGACGTCGTGCGCAGATCCCGGTCAGACCTCACCATGTCAGGGGTGCTTTTACCTGCGAAGCTGTCGCCACCTTCGAGGGCTGCTGGGGGTCCAGCATAGCGACGTCCTGCGCAGCGAGCGATCTCGGCCTTCGCCTACAACCTGCGCCCCTCGATGAGCAGCTGATTGCTTGGAGCGCCAGGGCGACATTGCGCGGGCCTCGTTGCTTGTCCAACGTGCCGTTGGGAAATGATCGCCGCCATCCGTCTTCAGCTTGCGTCTTTCGTTGTCGCCCCCTTCCCCGTCCACCGTCTCACTGCCGATGTCGCGTAAATACAGTCGGCCCCTCGTCCGCCCTTGCCCCTCGATCCCATCCACATTTCCTCTTCGAGCCTGGGGATTCAGTCCTCATCGTTTTGTTGCTGTCCTGTGGGTCGTGCAACGCGCGCGCCCTTCACTTCTAGCTGGCACAACCGATGGCAGCTCCCTGGCCAAATCCTGGACCAATTCCTGCCACTGGCCACACGATGCTGGACCAACTTTTGCTGTCGCCAGTGAAAAAAGGGTCCGCCGCAGGGTAATGATCCTAGCGACGGGGGCGGGGTTGTTATAGGGAAGAGAACGGGGAGGAGTGAGGAAGAGCAGGGGGAGGAGGAGGAGGAGGAGGAGGAGGAGGAGGAGGAGGGAGGGAGGAGGAGGAGGAGGAGGAGGAAGGAGGAGGAGGAGGAGGAGGGGAGGGAGGAGGGAGGAGGAGGAGGAGGAGGAGGAGGAGGAGGAGGAGGAGGAGGAGGAGGAGGAGGAGGAGGAGGAGGAGGAGGAGGAGGAGGAGGAGGAGGAGGAGGAGGAGGAGGAGGAGGAGGAGGAGGAGGAGGAGGAGGAGGAGGAGGAGGAGGAGGAGGAGGAGGAGGAGGAGGAGGAGGAGGAGGAGGAGGAGGAGGAGGAGGAGGAGGAGGAGGAGGAGGAGAAGAGGAGGAGGAGGAGGAGGAGGGGAGGAGGAGGAGGAGGAGGAGGAGGAGGAGGAGGAGGAGGAGGGAGGAGGAGGAGGAGGCGAGTCTGTCGAAGCCTCGTAAAAATCCGCGCGACCCTCACCAGAGGGTGGTATGAGAGGGCGGAAGCACCATAGATACCTCTGGTAATTAGTCCAAATAGAACACCTCGACCGGCCACGGCCGCGCGCCCCGGCAGCGCGCTGCGGCTGAAGGTCGCCTGCCCGCGGCGCGCGGCAGCCAGCCGCCGGCCGCCGCCCGAGCCGCCGCTCGCCCCTCCAGCGTCTCCAGTGGCCCCCGTGGGCCGACTGGAGGAGGAGGAGGAGGAGGAGGAGGAGGAGGAGGAGGAGGAGGAGGAGGAGGAGGAGGAGTGCTGTAGCGCTGCAGTCTCTGCCAGCGCCAGGGAATGGACTTGAAGGTGTCCTCGAGTGAGAATCCACTCCCCTCCTTCATTCGAATGCCCACTCCTAGACGTCGATGGAGTTAATGAATTAGACGGCCTAGCTGACGTGGCAAACAAGCGGAGGCCCATCTTCGGAGCCGTCAGGTCGTGCTTCCTCGAGTCCGCGGCCCCAACGTGGGTCTCAACGACAGCGAATCGCTGAGCCTGCGTGTACTGGTCCCTGATGAAGTTCCAGATGCGGTCGCCCATGCACGTAACGCTGCCAAACACAAGTGTGGAGACACCTTCAGCACTCGCGACTGGCAAGAGCCTCTCTTCGCGAATCAGAATCTGAGCCTGCACTGGAGCAGCTCGAGATCCCGATCCTACCGCCGAAGGTGAGGCTGAGGAGGGGGAGGTGGCCGTCGACGCACAGGAGCTCGCCCTCGAACCCCTCGACGTCGCACGCGTGGTGGCCGACGACCCCACGCTGGGAGAACGCCACGGCTTCGCCACCCACGGGGCCGTAGCCGATGAAGTGTAAGCAGGCAAGTTTCCGATTGCCGCTGGTGTGGAGGACAGCTCACCACCATCCACAGACGCCTCGGCATCAGCTCACGAGCTGGCGGCCGCTGCGACGCTCCTGCCGTCCTCGACGTCCTTGCCGCCCTTCCCCTCGCGCGTCGCCGCCTTGGCCGACCCCGCCGCGCCCTTCGCATGGGAGATCTTGGAGGCCTCCTCCTTGACAGCTGTCTCACTGGTCTCGCGGGCCTGCTTCGCCTCGGCGCTCTCCTCAGCTGCGGCGTCCGCTCCCGCAGCAGGGGCAGCGGGGGAGGAGGCCGCGGCGGGCGTAGCGGCGGAGTCCGCTGCATCGCCCTGGCCAGCACGCCTCTTCTTGCTGAGCCGCTCGGTGACCGTGGCCTTCTTCAACCACCCCTTGATCTGCTCCTGGCTGGTGCCGAGGGGAGGGGAAGGGAGGGGAAGGGGAGGGAAAGGAAGGGAAGGTCGAGGAAAGGGAGGGGAAGGGAGGGGATGGGGAGGGGAAGGGAAGGGCAGGGAGGGGAGGGATGAGGAGAGGAGGAGGGAGGAGGAGGAGGAGGGGGAGGAGGAAGAGGAAGAGGAAGAGGAAGGGAGGAGGAGAAGGATGAGGGAGTGAGGAGGAGGAGGAGGAGGAGGAGGAGGAGGAGGAGGAGGAGGAGGGCAGAGTCCGACCCAGGACTCGATGCCCACAGACCGGCCCAGGAGGGGAGGATGTGGAGGAGAGGAGCAGGAGCAGGAGCAGGAGAGGAGCCCAGGAGGAGGAGGAGGAGGAGGAAGAGGTGGAGGAGGAGGAGGAGGAGGAGGAGGAGGAGGAGGAGGGAGGAGGAGGAGGAGCAGGAGGAGGAGGGGAGGAGGAGGAGGAGGAGGAGGAGGAGGAGGAGGAGGAGGAGAGGGGAACGAAGAGGAGAGGGAGTGAGGAGGGATAGAGAGAGGGATGGAGGAGGGATGGAGGATGGAGGATGGAGGGAGAGAGAGGAGGGATTGAACCAGGAGGATGGAGGATGGAGGGAGGGAGGATGGAGGACGGAGGATGGGATGATGGAGGATGGAGGATGGATGGAGGGGGAAAGCAGTGGCATGCGCGCAGGCGGCGAGGCGGCCGAGCACGCCAGCGGCAGCCAGACGTACGTGAAC